GTTTTAGCAGCTCATCCTGTAGAGCTGCAAATTTGCAGTTCATAAGAAAGATGCCTTTACTGACCTGAAAAATTACGTACTTACGTTCATTCAAATTCTGACAGCACAAAAAATCCATATAAAAATTTGGGATTCTTTTTAAAAGTTGGTGGAATTTACCCGCTCCTGACTTACCAATAATAGAATCGTGACCAGAAACACACAAACGCATACAATCGGGCTGAGTGGGTACATAATTTGGATTATTCGGCTAAGTGCTTCGCTTTCGTCGTTTATGTTGGCAATCTGTATCTCCAGCACGAGACAAGTTACAAAAGCTCGCACATATCTCTCTCTTGCCTAACCAGGTGGGAAAAACAAATAAAAGTAGCTCGATTGGGTTAACAGTGCCGAATTTGCCCCAACAGTTTATTTATTGATCATCGGACTATTTTTATTAAAAGAAAAATCAGTTATGAAATATAGGACATGCAGGGATGCACCTAATAGTCTAATTAATAAAATTTATAAGAGAATTTATATCAGCTATCAATTAAAACATGATTATGCTACCTTAGCACGGCATGCTAACTTAAATGAAAAAACTATTTGAAATCTGATTTAAAATTTCAAAACAAAAACTAAAATTGTTACACTAAAAATAGTTGTTTTACTACTTCATTCATATTAACACTTTGACTCCCATCCATAGATTATTTTTTTTTTTTCAGTTTGGACTAGATTTTTTTTTTCAAGAACTCTGAGCACTTAGTATGAACGCGTTTTGTGAATTTAATAGCATGGCTGCGGCCATTTTGATCGACGCACCTTCCACGCTTATAGACTTCTTCAATTTTGTGCTGCCCTCCATTGTTGAATTTTGCAAGTATTCCAGCTATAGTAGACTCAATAATCGCAATTGCTATTTCTTCACAGAATTTGGTAACAGATATTTTCTTCCTAGTTACCTATTCATTAAGAACATGAGCATTAACAACTGATGTATTTGCCAAAAGTTCTACTGCGATTTTTCTATACCACTTTATACTTCTTCTAAAGGATTTAAAAGTATTATAGTCAACAATAGTGGACGGTTTACGTTTAGTGCCTCGACGCGTTTGTACATCTACAAGTTCTGGCACAGATATTGTTGTCAAAAACAAAATATCTCGACGATCCTTTCACTTTCCAAAGATAACCTTACTATTACTTTGGCGAAGTATCATTTCACCTGGAGCTAATTTTGTCGTTGTTACAGGAGTGGGGTTTAATTTTCAATTAGTTCCTACCAAGTGCGTTTTTTTTTTCAAGAGCTGATGGGCTCTTGTGTAAAAATTATCGGTATATAACGTTCTACCACTATCGAGTAAGGGTTGCATTAACTCAATGACTACTTTCTTAGCTAATGGTGTACGAGGATATATCAGTATATAACGAGACTGGTGCTATAACTTCTTTCAGAGGTAACATTTTATAACCCAAAAAATGAGACATGAAAGCCTTATATTTAATGTACTACCCCGCAAGTAGGCTTTGATTTAACTTTTGACATTTGTTACAAATTAATTATTGAATTGTCAGTGTTTTGCGTACCCATCGAAAAATGAAAGTGGAGCAAAGATACGCGATAAAATTTTGTGTTCGATTGGGTAAAACACCAACTGAAACTTTTGAAATGATTAAAGGTGCATATCTAGATAATAGTTTATCACGATGTAGAGTGTATGAGTGGCATAAAAAGTTTAAAGACGGTTGTGAATCAGTTGAAGATGAACCTCGTCCCGGTCGACCACAAACTGCGAGAAATGACACAAACATTGCAGAAATTAACGACTTGATACAAAGTGATCGCCGGATTGGCATAAAACGAATTTCTGACAATGTTAATTTGTCTTACGGTACCACTCAAAAAATTATTCATGAAGATTTAGAGTACCGGAAGATCGCGGCAAGATGGATTCCAAAAGTGATGACTGATGAACAAAAAGCGAATCGAGTGACAATTTGTCAGTAGTGGAAAAGGCAATTGCAACGTAACCCACAGTTTTTAAATAATGTGGTTACATGTGACGAAAGTTGGTTTTATCATTACGATCCTGAATTGAAGTCTCAAAGTATGCAATGGAAGCATAAAGGCAGCCCAAAACCGCAGGAGGCCAAAACTGCTAAAAGCGCTAGTAAAGTGATGCACCTGATTTTTTTTGATAAATTTGGCGTTATTTACGATCACATTGTACCTAGAGGACATACAGTAACAGGGGAGTACTATTCTAATGTACTTCGAGGACCCTTAAAGGCAAAATTAAAGAAAAAAAGGCCGCTTTATCAGGACTTTGGCTGGACGCTGTATCACGACAATGCTCCGGCTCATAGATCAATGATTTGTCAACGAACAATTGAAGAATTAGGGGTTGAAATTATGGTTCATCCCCCCTACTCTCCTGACCTTGCTCTATGTGACTTCCATTTGTTTCCTGAAGTCAAAAAAGAATTGAGAGGTAGAAGATTTGAGTCGGATTTAGAGCTCAACAACGCTGTGATGGGTATACTAAACAGACTATCAAAAAATGGTTTCTCAGAAGTTTATGATAAGCGGATAAAGCGATGGAATAAGTGTATTCAACAGAATGGAGAGTACTTCGAACGATAATTGTTGAATTTTTTTAAATAAATGTTTCGTTGTTATACTATAGCACCAGTCTCGTTATTTTCTGATACATCCTCGTATTAACATTATTGACCCCGTCCTTTTCTCCATAGATTTTCAAGTTGAAAGTGTAGCCTTTGTTAAGACACAATTTAAAAAGTTTTATCCCATACTTATGGCGCTTTCCTGGTATATATTGTTTGAAGCTTAATCTACCATGGTCTCATCTATACAAAGATTTTTATCTAAGGGTCAGAGTACTTTAAAATTTTTTATTTTGCAAGTCCACCAACGGTGAGATTTTATAGAGACGATCATTATTGTTTGGAACCTCGTTATTAGATAAGTGAAAGTTTGATAAAAGAATCTCAAATCGTCTTCTTGACATCAGTTTTAAAACATCATTACTATATACAATCTAAGTACTCCAGTAAGTCCCTTATAGGCGCCAGATCTCTATCATTTGTGTCAGTCCAATTAGCAAGAAGTGAATTTTTAGAAATCGTCTCGTCTAAAATAACATTTATAGTTTTTTGCTCCGCATACAAGTTGGTTTCTCTAACAATTAAACTAATAATTTCTGCGTTCAAGAACAGTTTGTAAAAATCCAACGGAGTATCCCCTTTTCTTTTATTTACAAATTCATTGTTCACACCAGGTGTAATTTGAAACGTAAAATTATTCATTTGACCTAAAATATTTTATTTCTAAGATAGTGGAACAAATTTATTTGTACTCAAACCTACCGCTAACATCGTTCCAGTAAAATTCCTTGTTTCCATTTTCTTCTTCATCATTCTCGTGAAAATTCCCGGATATTTCATCCGAATTATTGTCCACAGGATGGTCCACATTTACCGTTTGAATTCCTTAAGGACCCGCCGAATTATCTACCAAATCATTCGTAGATAAAAGTGCCAGTTGATCATCCAATTTTTGTCTCTTTTTTTGGCAGTAGACTGCTCTCTGACTCTGAAGATTCATCGTCACTACTTTCAAGATAGTTTGGATCCTCATTCAAATCGTCAAAATAAGAATAATCAGACAGCTCACTCAAGTTTTCTGCCACAAATTCTAATTCTTGGGCACTAAGAACCTTCTTTCTAGACATGTTTGACGAAAAACAAACAATATTAATGTATTAAACGCACTCCAACACCCAAGGACCAACAGATGATCGATAAATGTCAAACTAAATGGGACTGTGTACCTAACACGGTTACGCTTTATTAGAAGACAGAACCCTGAACCAATCATAGAAACATTTACGTACGGAACATACTAAAAATCCTCTTCATAAGCAGTGGCGGTTTGCCCGTAAGGGCACTTGGGCACGTGTCCCAGTATAATAAACAAAAAAAAAATAACTTACATATTTTATATTTTCCTCAATCCCTATTATTATTTTATCTAATATTCAGCGCAATCCGCGTTGGCACGACACTGGACGACCGGGCGTTGAGCGACGTTCCGAAAATTCCGAAATTAAGAGGACACAGGGCACAGTAAATGTGTGCCCCTGTTGTTTTTCTCTCATTATGATGCGAAAAACAAGGACAACGGCGATATCGCTTAGCAAGAGATGAACACATGCGATGGATTATACATCACAAGCGGGGCGCTGTCCTTATCGTGACGTGCTGTACCCATGGCACAGATTACCTAGACCAAATACGAATGTACGCAGCGGCATATTTACTTAAGGCTTAAGGTGCGCGTTTGTTGGACCATGATAATAATTTATTTATTGTGATTACGAAAAAACGTTAATTGGACCTTTGGAATAGTTAAGAAATAAAACTGCAAAAAAATAACTTTTTTATTTATAAAGCAGTCAAAACTATGATGAAAAAAAATTAATAATATTTATAAATGGGACAAAATTTTAATTTTTGTTTTGTCTGACTTCATCGAGGATTTAAAATCTATGTTTGCATATTTAAGAGTATAAAAAATTCCGAGTCTTAAAAATAATTTAATGGTGTACATTTTCGCAAATTGTTGGCAAGGATGACCAAAATCTATTTTGCTCATCTCAAAAAGGTATGCGTTGGAAATTCCAGGCTTAGTTGACAAACTATCAGAGATATAATTATTTTTTTTAATTTGAAAATATAAAAGAAAAATTTTTCGCTGGTAGATTTTAAATTGCCAAACACCTTTTCTTCAGAGTTGTATGCTTTAAAATGCTCCTACACGATGGAATTTTACATCGAAGTGTGTCAATACTATTTGTTTATAAAGAGGATTTGATTAAATGTCTCAAAAAAATTATGAACACAGAATTCGATAAAAAAACTATTAATCAGAGTAAAGGGTTGATCAATTTTGAAAGACATATTTTAGTTTCTGGTTATTTTTCTTCAGCAAAATAATGCCAAATTGCGATATACTTTTTGATCAACTGCAGAGTAGACAGGTCGATGCTCTCAAGGTTAAGATAAACATATTAAATATTGCATCAGCTATTCAAAATATTAGAAATAATATAGACACGCTAATTCATGAAGAATGGCAATCACAGCAAGACCCACAAGAACAAAACTTGAACGACAACACCCAATCAGGTCCAAGTACAAGCAAGAAGAGACGGTTTGTTGAAAAGCAGGACCCTATTCCTAATTTAAGGATATGTAAGGAAATTTGTGATACAATAGTAGTGCAGTTAAATGAACGTTTTAGTTTTACTACTCACCTAAAAATTGCAAGTTTATTTGATAGTGAAAAATTTAAAGACTACCGAGATTATTTTCCAAATGAGGACGTTAAACTGTGTATAGTTTAGTTCCAAACGTAAACAGCTTAAAATTCAAAAACGAACTGTCCATACTTTACACCCGAGATGACTTTGTGCAACACAATGGGGCCGTACCGTTATTACAAATGTTTTTTGAGAACAATTTAACAATTACATTTTCAGAATCTGTGGAGCTGCTAACTATCCTGTGTAAAATTCTCATGACCACAGTGGAGAGTGAAAGATGTTTTTCGACACTAAAACGTATTAAACCATTTTTAAGGAACACTGTGCCAAGATAGATTGTGCGCGTTAGCCATGTTATCCATCGAAAAAAAACTTATTCGGTCCATTCCAAATTTTAATAATCTGGTCATCGATCACTTCGCTAGCCAAAAATCCAGAATTGGACTTTAACTATAAGAAATAGTATACAACTGCAGCGGTACCTAGCAGTTAGTCTTCAATTTTGTAATATTTAATTTGTTTTAAAATATATTTTTTATTTTCATTAAGCGGAGAACTTGTTTTCTTAAGAGAAAAACGAATCCTGGGATTCCTTTCCAGTGTGTGCCCCACTGCCGCTAGTGCCCACGAGCCGTCACTGTTCATAAGCAATAATGCAATTCGTAAGCCCCGCGTTGTCACAGTAGAAAATATTGCGCTATAACGCGTGTACCTGAAATGGTCACACGGTCCATTTGAATAAATTTTTGTGTACCAAAAACGTTACACATGGAGCTCAAAGTGTTAAGTAATTGTAGTAAATTTTTTGAAATTCTCCTGTATAATTTATACTTCCGTCAACACTTCAATCAGTGAACAGTAGCATGGTTTTATGTCAAAAAAATCTATTGTTACAAATTTATTTTGTTTACTCAATATACTTCTGAGAATTTCGACTGGGTAGACTCTGTAGGGCTATCATTTCCATTACTTCGGCTTCTTCAAAATTACTTACTTGAATATTCTCATTCATTTATAACTATTTCAGATGTTTCACAAGAACTATTAGTATTTTTATTGTTTTAAGCGATTTCTCTTCGAAATTAACTTATATTAATCTTATGTTTGAAAAGATGGCACATCCCACACTATACCTCGTACTCATGGATATAACGCCTGCCCGCTGAGGTATGCAACTATGCGATCAGTTTGTTCGACTGTACGGCGACTTTCATTGAAATGGTCACTCATCCAACTACAAACTGCGCTGGGCTGGCTTTATAACGTGCATATTTGGCAGTTAGAAACACACGATTTTAAATTCGACTTATCTTTTGTATAAGTGAACAAAAGAAGGTTAAGCGTTCTAGATTGCTAATATAATAAGCTTGTAAAATTATTTGTTAGAAACTAGTGGAATTTACTGACGACATTCTCTATCTTGCGGATTGTCATATTAAATATTTAGTTTTTATTATCAATAGAAAGTAGTATGGGAATTTATTCGTAGTACCTAAGTTGTACAATAATTGACTAGTTATAATTTCCAAATTGTTGTATTTTTGGCCCAATCTAGCTTATTTCTCAATTTTATATGCTTACCTATAAGAGATCCTTTCAAGTTTTCCTGTTTCAAATTCCCTATATATTTCATGATTTTTAGTTTGTTGATACATTTTAGGTTTAATTTTCTTTTCCCTAATACATTTGTCAGATCTTGACTGAACCGTTTAGGATAGTTAGAATTAAATGAGCATTTAATAGGAACAAATAGCGATACAGCTCTAAATAGAATTTTATAAAAATGATATACAGCAACACTGTTATCAGATTGGTCAAGCAAAAATGAGATACAGCAACATTGTTATCAGATTTGTCAACCAAAAATGACTAATTTATACTTACATAAAACCAAAGTAATATTCATTATATTTTAAAATTTCTGAATCTTTATTGACTAGATATTAAGTACGAGTACACTCAAGTTAAGGATATGGTTTAAGTGAAATAAATTTCAAATTTAAAATCTGTCAGTTACACAATAAGCTGGACTGTCAAACCACTAAGATTATCATTATTACACATTGCCTCTGGTTGATTATAGACTTGTTTTGTATAATTTTTTCCTTGTCAATTAATGACTAGATCTACTATAAAATATTTCACTCGTATTAGATAAAGTATAAGAGATTTGGATCGAATGCCGAGATCATCGGTGCAACAGATACCTATTTTGAGGTTCTCGAGAAATCGTATTTTCCTAAGTACGGCTCTGTAGCTAAAAAATACTCGCTTGCTGGTAGTTCAGAGATTGTCGTTCTCGACTTTTGTCACCTTATTCGATTGATTCTGAGGATTTGTAGTGATTTTCTAGGAAATGTGTTTGATTTTATGATATTATGGTTTAAAAAATGTACGGTACTTTTTAGTTACGTATGTCATAATCGTTTCTATATTTATATTGTTTTAATGTATTTTATATAAAAGAGGGTATTAAATAAAATTATGATATTCCCTTCAAGGAATAATACGAATAAGGGCGTAAATTTACAAACCGTGTCTTGTATAATCAGTTATTCATTCATTAGTTAGTTCATTCATAATTTTAAAATATTATCACCATAACTGCATATGCAATAAAAAATTCTACCTCATGACGATGCTATCAGTGTTATGAATGGATCTATATTTACACTGATAAGTTTAATAATACGTTGTAATTCTCTAATTATAAACGGTGACTGATAAGAAAATAATAGCAAGGTAAATTAAGTTACAAATAATTTTTTAATAAGAAAACAAGAAGTACGTCCAGGTGAAACAATGATGAAATTAAATCACAAATTCAAAAGTATAGACACACAGAGATACAGAACAGTAGGTACAGGGTTATTCTTTATAAATTACCCACCTGTTATCATTGTTATTATTGTCAATAGAAAAAAAGTTTAAATAAAAGTTGTGTGGTTATGACCGAATTTTGTTGAAATGCTATTAAAAATACATTAGCGTGCAGATTTTAGAGGATACGATTTTTTTATTGGTATACCCTGTATATTGTCACAAATCCCAAATAATATTAATAATAATAATAATAATAATTTTTCTTAGTTTTTTAAAATAACTTTTGTATTTTATTTCAAAGACGAAACTGGTACAAAAAACCGATTTCGTGACATGGTGCAGGCGCCTAGCTTCGTTCTTGAAAAATAATTCAGCATAATTATTTTAATATACTATTAATTGTTTAATTTTTTTTTATCTTTGTTAAATTTTTAGTTTCTTTTTATAAAAATAATGTCAATAAATAAATCGATATAACCCAAAACCCAAAAAATTAATATTTCACTAAACTTTGCTCCAGCTGATGGTTTTGATAAATGATATGTTTTATATTTTTCACATTTTCCTTTTACATTTTTCACATTTTCTTTTTACATTTCTTGAATTTTTTTTTTATCGTTATTATATATAATAGCAAGTTTTAAAATATTACCCTATTGATGAATGTTTATTTTTTTATTATTTTAACATGGTATTTCAATATAAACAAAGAAAATTATCTTAAGAACTTACATGAGAATTAACCAGTCTCTTACGAACAATAACTTCTACATTTTTTTAAGGAGGTCCTTTCGCCACCCCTTTCGCCACTAATGGTAAATAAAAAATATTTGATTATGACTAAAATTTATTTTTTTTCTTCTAATAGTTTAAGTCCTTATTTATCTAATAGTAAACTTTTAACTATACCTTACCGTGCAAATTTTTGAGAATTTTTTTTTAAAAATGTGAGTATTTGTACAGTGTCTTACGAGAAAATAAGACCTCAACAACAATTCTCGAATTATACTATTATTTATTGATTAGATGGAGTAGAAAAAAACTAAAAATAAGGTTTTTGAAATATTTAGGTTTTGTTTTTTACAATAAAATATATAGGTTACCGTGGAATTTATTGAGAAATTAATATTCTGTACACAAATGCCTTACCTCTAAATCACCATGACATTGACTGTCGTGATTCCTAAACGGCAGTTTGATGTGCTAATTCGGGCTAAGCGCCATTTCAGGCTCGTACTCAAATCTTCAAATACCTCTATACATAATCGGTGTATATGAGAAATGCATTGATGCATACTGAGCCCATATCTTTGTCTGCTTGAATTAAGTTTTCAATGCATGTTAAGAGACGTAAATCTGTGTATGAAAATTGTAATTTATTATCGAGAACCTTGGTTGTTCATTTTGATAGTTAGATATTTTTTGTGATATTTTCTTTTGTAGTGTATGTAAATTTAAATTTACTATTTTTCGCATGCAGTTTTATAATATATTTCTAATTAATTATCTCATGTATTAATAAATTTGCCTTGTAAATGAAAAACTGTTAGACAATAAATGCTTTTTTTATTATTATTATTATAACACTTGCTACTAACAATATTTTAAGATTATTCTATTACGCTAAAAACTCATTTATCACCAATTCGAAAAGATCCCAGAAATGATAAAGTTGTAAAATGCAAATTTTTCAACATATATGTATATACCTCTCGAAACAAAACGAAGGCATCCAAAAAACCACAATCATTCTTTTTATTGCTTGTTAACATCACATACTACTTTTATATATATATAAAAAAAAAGTAACATAATTCTACCTGTCGGTGTGGGTAACGGCAAAGAAAAAGGACTCCTGAAGATATGCGATTCATTTCCATTCTGTCCAGCGTGTCTCGCCTTAGATTTTGTTATCGTGTTCGGACATCACGCTTGTTGTTGTTGTTACTTGTTGCTTGTTGACCGGCTATGTGGTCGTCCGATAGGGATGAATCAATTCCGCTTGATCAATTTGGTAATCTCGTTCAGCTAAAATTATATTATCCTATAAGTTTAATTTTGACATTTCTGGTCCCCTGGTATAGGAGTGTTCATGGTAAACAAAAATAATAATTTAAAAAGTAGATGAGGCATAGAGCTTGTAATGTCCTGTTTTATTTGGGTTAAAGCTTAGATAAAAGAGACCAGAGATATAACATACACCGGTGTTTAACCTGCGCAAATGTTGCCAATTTCTAAAGAAAGGTTAACGGAGTGGG